TGGTCATTGCACGTCATAGTGAGTGGTTGAGGAGCCTTTGCATATCATTAGCATATTATGCTTTGATTGGTTGAACAGCAGACTGGTTGACTGGACACTTAGGATATTAGGCTTTTATTTTATAGGATGTTATGTCTTATAGACATTATAAAATATGTAATAACATACTGAAATTATAGCTTCATCTGATAAACAAAATGCAAATATTTCACTAAGAGATTAATGAAACCTGAAGCATAATGGCTAACCCTTACATATTTGGTTTGGGACTATTGAAAGCCATCCAAACAGCCTATACTCATTACTAGTCCTGAGTCCCACTCTGTTGCTCACAGTCCAGCACTAGTATCTGGTGCAGAAGAAAGTGGAATTCTCAGGAAGACCCATTTTTAGCTAAGGCAAGGCGATGGAGGAATTTGTGAAGGATAAGAATATAGAGGGAAGTTTGTTTAAAATTAAAAGGAAATCCAGAGGTCAAATATGAAAGGGTTCAAAGGAAGTAGCACCAACCCTATCATAATGTAGAGTATTCAAATAAGAGGACAGTGAAATAAAACATTATGCATTTTGGGAGGAGGCCAAATATGAAAGGGAAATGAAGCGTAGTTTCGTTACTGTAATTGGTCTTAAAGTTTTGTTTAACTCTGATGTAAAATATTTTCTGTGCCACCACTGACTATATCTATGGGGAATGGGGGGGAGGGGGAGGTGTCTAAACTAGGGGAATGGGATTAGTAAGTGTTTGAGGTTCCTTTGTAAACTTTCAGCATAATATAGATGGCTGTGAGATAGCATATCATCTTCGTACATCTCTCATAGTTATTTTTTTGTACCAGCAAAATCTTTGGTTTATATTTATTTCAAACTTCAAATTACTAAATCAGAGTTGGGTGCTCAGTTTTGATGTACTTGTTCATTTATATCCCTGTGCTTAATATGTAATCCATGCCAATGATAATTAGCACTGGCTTCAAAGCAAATTTTCCTTAGTACATAATTAATAAAGGGATGATGTATAAAAATTACCATTTCTATAAAGTATTTTTTCCTTATGCAAGGAATAATATTAAAGTCTTCTGAATGGGGGATTCAAGAGGCAAGAAAGGAGTCACCCCATTTCTAATAGCTGAATTTGAGAAAAGTTTTATAGACAATCAGAGAGTAGGGAATTAGATTTCCATTATTTTAGGACTGGAAATATTTCACAAATTTCATCAGTATGCGGACCATATATAGTTTGTTTGGTTTGGTTTGATTCATTCTGTTGAACTATTGACCCATCTTTCATAAAATACTACCATGCTCTTCTTCCTTCTATTCCTTTTGTTGCTGTCTTTCTGCCTCATTTTCTCCCTCATGAAATGGCTGATGTGTACAAATTAGGTGACACAGAGCTCTTCCCCAATCAGCTCTTCCTACTATCACCCAGGCAAAATTTAAGGACCCAAAGTTTCAAGGAATCCAATGGAAACAAACCAGAAACTACGTACACTTTTAAATAGGTAACAAGGGAGTTACCCATCTTCTGCAGTGGTTCTCAACCTGTGGGTCGCCACCCCTTTGGGGGTCAAACGACTCTTTAACAGGGGCTGCCTAAATACATCCTGCATATCAGATATTTACTTTATAATTCATAACAGTAGCAACATTACAGTTATGAAGTAGCAATGAAAATAATTTTATGGTTGGGCAACAAAAATAATTTTATGGTTGGGGGTCACCACAACATGAGGAACTATATTAAAGGGTCGCGGCATTAGGAAGGTTGAGAACCACTGTTTAATGACTTCATCTAATATTTTAGCATTTTCTTGTCTTTGTATTTTCTGTTCTTTCTAGTATCCCAACTTTTTCTTTTGGTTCTCACTCCCACACCAACCCAACTTAGATCAGAATCCCTTGTTATAATACACTCAAAGACCCACTTTTTTAGAGCATTTATATTACCTACCTCAGCTTTATTTTACAAGTCTATTTGGTCTACTTGCTTATCTCACTTTAAGAAACTAATTCTTCCCTGGCCAGTGTGACTCAGTGGTTGAGCATCAACCCATGAACCAGGAGGTCATGGTTTGATTCCCAGTCAGGGCACATGCCCAGGTTGTATGCTGGATCCCTGGTGGGGGTTGGGATGGGTACTGGAGGCAGCTAATCTAGGATTATCTCTCATCATCGATGTTTCTATCTCCCCCCTCCCTCTTTTAAATCAAAAACATATTTTAAAAAAGAAACTAATTCTTTTAGTGGCTGTGAGTGGCATGAGAGAAATGTAAAAGGCATCAAGAAAAATCAGAGGTAAGAGGAGAGGAGAAAGACCTTAAAATTAAACTAAGTACTTACTTTGCAAAGTATCTTTTCTGTCTCACTTTATATAAACGTGTCTGTTATTTTCCAACTAACTGGTGGAGGTGGTGCTTATAAAGATTTTTCCCTCCTGGAACCCCAGAATTTTAAAATATGCCTTTCCTTTCCATCCTTCTATATATTTTTCCTTGCTTCTCATACCATGGCAAAGTTATTACTGACAAATATCAGCCCTCACAGTCACATGTGCAACAAACTCATAAGTGATAAAACTTTAGTGATGGAAGGGAACTTGGAAGTAATATAGTCCAACTCCCACCTTTTATAGATGAAAAAATTGAGGTTAATCAAAGTTACATTGTTTAGTAAGTCATGTATTTAATTAAAGAACCAGTAATGGAACCCAAGTCTTCCATCTTCCAATCAAGTCTTAATTTCCCTTACCTTGATCTGCTCTTTCTTGCCGGGGGTTTATATATATTCATAAAACAAAAAACAATAGAAAATGTTACTGTGATCCACAACCACATTTTCTTATTTTAGTTTCCCTTAATATCAAGTTATCTTCAGATCCCACAATTTCTTTACATTAGGAGTAAAATCACATTTCACATTAATTTCAAGCGATTATTTTTCATTACTCAGCCTCATGCAACTAGCCAATCTGAATGTCTTGGAACTTAAGAAATAGAGGACAAAATAAGGATTTCATAAATCAAATGGATAGTTTTTAAATTATCAATTGGCTTCTTTCATAAAGAATGCTTCTTAGTAGTTGTAAAACAATATAAACGTTAAAAATACCATTCTGGTAGTCAGTTATGACTCGGTGCTTACATGATAACTACAATTGTATTTATCATGAAAATGGGGGATTTCATTATTTTTGTTCCCAAAGTGATTTTTAGGTCACTCTTTTGGGGGGGCTATTCATGCTGTTGACATTTTAAGATAGATTTAAAAACAATATGTTAAGATTTATTAGATACTATAGAAAGAAAAAGTATCCTAGGGACTTATCAGGGAGATCCCATACAAGGCAGAAAAAGTGTTTCTGTTCCAAAAAATTTTTAGTTGACTTTATATTTATCATTAATCATTTTGGAGAACAGGATGGTGCAGTGGGAAAACCCCACAAATCAAACCATAGCTTTGGAGCTAGACTAGACTGACTTACTTTGCACAACCGTGGAGTGAATATATTGGGATCCTTGAAAAACTACTTGATAATCTCTCATTTCCCTCAGATGGGAAATAATACCTATCTCCCAAGTTTATTTTAAGTGTTAAATGAACAAATGTATGTTAGAGCATGCCTGGCACAAGTTATATGTCAATAAATGTCTATATATTTTCCCCCCAAAGATATACTCTGATTCTCAATCAAGCTTCCCCAGGAATATATTTGGGGAAATAAAGAATTGATGGAGAGGTAAAATTTTTTAAAATTTAGCTCAAAAGCCCCTCTTCTTATAAATCTGAAATTAATTTTTCTGTTCCCTCTTCTCTTATACAACACACACACTCTACATGTATAAATCTTTCCATGTATGTGGAATGAGTTTGTATAAATTTTTGTTGGTATCACTTAACAATTATTACCAACAGTGGGAGATATGAACCCTTTTGAGTCTTTAACATTTCTCAGGAGTTAGTGGTAGGTAAATCCATGAACATACATTTTAAAGCCAATTTACCCACATCTTGGAGTCCATCTCTGTTGTTTTCCCTTTATTAAAGCAGTGAAGTATCAGTTGTTTCAATACTGCAATGAATCAAGCAACACTGGAAATTAAGTCCCGAAGCAGTGCACCTTTAGCAGGTATTAAGACATTCCCCGAGTCATGATTGTCTATTTTCAACAATTTTATATTCAGTCTACTTCTTCAGCAACCACGTGGGAAATATCTGGAGATAATTTACTGGCTAAGTGCATCGATCTTGTAAAAGACATTTGGAGCATTTCACAGTTTGACCCCCTGAGACGGTCTAACAAAGGCAGAGAAACATGTAACAAATAAATAGGTTAAGCTCGAAAGTGATCTAGGTGTGGTGCTGCGCTAGCCTCACAAGAGCTGCAGTCCTTCCTATCTGTTTACCGAGCGCCCTTGCCGAGTTACTTCGTTGTTTAAAGTCTCCTCATTAAGATTTTTTCAAAAATATATTTTATTGACTTTTTAGAGAGGAATAGAGAGTTAGAAACATCAACCAGCTGCCTCCTGCACATGTGCCCGCAACCAAGGTACATGCCCTTGACCGGAATCGAACCCGGGACCCTTCAGTCCGCAGGCCGACGCTCTATCCACTGAGCCAAACCGGTTTGGCTACCGAAGAACAACGCAGAAGTACAGACGATCACGAGATCTTTCCAAGCGGCGCGTGTCTGTATCCTATCCCTATCGCATATAGATGAAGCAAACCATTAGGTCACAGTTTTGTCTCCTACTTCTACCCCACTAACCCCCTCCCTCCTGCAGCATTTTGTTCGCTGATGGTCGATGTCTGGAACGCGCAGGAAGCTCTCCTGGACTGAATAACAAACAGCAAGTGCCGCCCCGTCCTGAGAGCTGTCTTGCGCCAACTTGACCCACGGATTTTAGGATATAAAGGCGAATTCAAGGTGGTTCCCATTTTCTCCTCCAGTCGCTTTCCGGTGGCGCTGTCTCCAGGACTTGCAATGAATACGGTTTTGCAGGTGACTTGCTGTGTCTCGCTCGCACGATAAGTAAAGCTCTACGCCTCCTGACACCCACAGCAGCCCTCACCGTCCTCCTCCGGTCCTCGGTCTTCGGGTTTGCCCCGTGAGCCCCAAGTGAGGACTTACGAGGGGCTCCATCAAGGTCAGTGCGGTGACCATCTCACCGACTCCCATCAGAGGCCAAGCCCGCTGCCTCCGACCCTGTCCCCCATCTCCAGGGCGCTTCATGGCCTTCGTCGCACACCGCTTTTCCGCCAGTAAAGGGCAGCGGGGAAGGAAACATTCCGCCCCCAGATCTCGCCGAACACCTCTGGCCCCACCTCTCTGCCTTTGGCTACAGGTGAGGGTCCAGGGTGGGACCCAGAAAAGAAAAAAGAAAAAGGATTTATTTCTGGCCTGCCCCTCCTTCCCTTGAGGAATCCAGTCGCCCAGGAAGGCTTTCCGAAAGCCGCTCTGCGTGGCAGCCTTGGTTGGACTAAGTTGGGGATGGGGAGCTGGGGAGAAAAGAGAAGTCGTTGTGGGCAGCTGGGTGCGCCCGCCATCAGTCTCCCGCGGTGGCGCACAGGTACCCGACGATGTCGCGGTGGCCCCGCTCCTCAGCCAGGTCCACGGGCAGGCGGCCCCAGGCATCGCGCACATCCAGCCGCGCCCCGGCTCGGTGCAGCGCCACCAGCGTGTCCAGGAAGCCCTCCCGGGCGGCGTCGTGCACGGGCCGCGTGAGGGTGGCGGGGTCCGCGCAGTTGGGGTCCGCGCCGTGGATCAGCAGCAGCTCGGCCACGCGGGTGCTGCCCATCATCATGACCTGCGGGCGAGAGCAGAATGGTCAGGGCGAGGGGCAAGCGAGATGCAGGCCTGGGCAGGGACAGGTAGACCATTTCAAACACATTAAGTATCTACTTTATGCAGAGGTGCTCACAAGCCCCAGGAATCTGGTTAAGCTCATTTGCTGACGCAATATTTCCCTCCTCCCAGTCCCCCCACCTGCTCCAGGTAAGCGCTTTACTGAGGTTCAGTTATATTTTCCAAATATGCAAGAAAGAGCTGATGATAATGTGCTTGTCTTCATTGTGAGAAAAAAGAAAAAGCTGACTTCCATTTGAACATGGGAATCCATTTTATTAAATGACTATAGGTGGACTTAAGTTTAAAGGCTTTTAAAATCTGAAATTATTTCTCTTGCTCTGCTCTCTCTCCCCAGACATAATCCGTGTCTAAAAATCTTTATTAGGCAGTCAGCTGGTGCTGTATCTTGGAAGTTAGAGTAATGCTTTAGGGGAGAAAGTGAGAAACAACTAAATTTAAAATAAGGCTTACTTTGTTTAGTTCTCACAGTAAAGCCCCTGTGGAAGGCCTTTGCTTTTCAGTCACGTATGTCTGTGCTTATAAATGTAATAGTCCTACAATTTGAACCAAAATTGTAGCTGTAGGGGAAAATGTAAAGAGACACACACATTGTTTTATAAATTAATGAAAACCAATTATTTGTTGTTAATAAATGGTTCACCATTTTAAATATTTAACTTAATGTTATAGAGAAGGCCCAAAGTTTAGAGGGTGGTAGACTTAATGTAACATGTCATATTAATACTATATTTACATTGTACAGGATTTTATAATATTAAATAGTAAATGTTTTGCTATATGAAAAGAACTTGGATGCCAGTAGTTGAATCAGAACAATGCATGACTTAGAAAAAGGATGTTTGGAGCAATAATCCTATAGCACCCATTTGTATAAATACACATCATGCAAACATTTACTTCTTTATTTTAACAATAAAACAATTTTTGACAACTAAATATCCAAAATGGAATTATTTGTTCTTGTGACTTTGTGTTTTAAAATGTACTATGTAACTGAAAGATAGCATACTAATTTTTTTGTTCTGTTTCATGAATATTAGAAGCATCCAATTCCTTGCTTAAAAACCAAGATAGGTTATCATTCTTACTAGTGATATAAAGGCTGTTTCACATATAGAGAGGGGGGAGGAAAAGTGGTTCTTAATATCCCAGAAAATGGTGAATTAAAACTATAAAACCTATTTATACAATTAGTATAATTTGAAGTCTTTAACTACTACTGTACCATACTTTTGCTGCTTTGAACCATCCCTCATTTCTTGTAACACTTTTCTATGAATTCTAAAGGAATGAACATATATCTTCTTTAAAATCTAAGACTCTTTTCTATTTCAAAACTACCTAACAGTTGCTGCAGGGAATGCTTTTGTAATCCAAGCATTCAGTATGGTAATTAAGCAGTAAAAATCCATAGAATCATTTTTTTCTTACGTAATGCTCAAGAGATAATGCTAACATAAAATAAGAGGAGTAAGTATTGTGGTTTAGGAACACCCTGTCTTGTTCCTTTGTTTAGAACAAACTGCAAGGAATTTCATATTGCAGCTTGAAACTTAACAGTGAGTTTTTTTCCTCCAGGTACTATGATTTTGTGTGATTCTTTAAATCCAATACAGAATGCGTAAGTTGTAATGTATCTCTGATCCCGAGACGGGAGAGGATATACTGATATTTTTTCCATCATTAAAAAGAACAAACTGATGCAGTGGATTTTTCATTCTTTTTTTTTTTTTTTAAGGATTTTTGGTGGGTGAACACCGGCTTTACCCCTGGGCTCCACACCCCTAGCAAGAGAGAAACAGTGGAGACCCAGGTCCCAGAGGCGCCCCAGGGAGGCCGCGCCCCCGCGTTCGCGCGCCCCCTGCCGACGAGGCCCCTGGGCCCCAGG